AAGTGCTCTAATAGGGTGATATGGTACTACAAGGTCATTAAGATAAGATGGGGCCTGATTATTTAAGACCTTGTATGTGAGCAGCAGGATTTTGAATTCTGGATTTAACAGGAAGCCAAAACAGGAGCAATCTGCTCTCTCTTTCTAGTCCCTGTCAGGACTCTCGCTGCAGAAAGAAGTTGAAGACTTGAGGAAAGTTGCCTGATGTGAATCTAACATCAGAAGCTTTGGATTAATTTCCCTTCGGAGCTTCAGTTTCTCCTGCTTCAGCTGCTTTGATGGTTTCGCTTCAGGTGTTTCAGAGTTCATATTGCAGACCGGCTCCCACAGGTGAGAATGCTCTTGAACCGGGAACCAGAGAGTCGCTGTGACATGGAAGCCCTGTGTGTTCTCTTTGAGTGTGAGGCTGGCAGATTTATAATGACCGCGTCTACAAAGAGCTCTGTTCATTATTTCCACAGAAGAGGCCACGCTGTGAGGCAGGAATGCTGTTTTTGGCCTGACAGGTGAGGATTTCACATCTGTCACAGTTCCCTGTGTGTCAATGAAAGCAAAGAGTGGCAGTGATCCAGAGTCCAATACCCATGTGACCTGTGGGAGTGGGCACAGGCAGCGCTGTCAGGTCTGTCTGCTGTGAAGCACTTTGGTCCACGAGCTCTGAATGCTGACGCATTATTGCAGTTTTGTCTCTGTCCTTCGCCACAGCAGCTTTTAAACCATCAGCTGTGATCGAAGTGCAGACACGCAGCTTTAATCCAAGGGCTTTATCCAAAGTGTGGCATTAAAATTCGACTTATTCAGACATTGTTATGCACAGTCCCACAGCATCAGAGGCTCAAACGCCATCAGATGATCGCCTGACAGACAGTTTCAGGTCAGCCCAGCACAGCTGATGCTCCAGTGGCGCAATCGGTCAGCGCGCGGTACTTATACGACAGTATTCAGCAGAGCGATGCTGAGGTTGTGAGTTCGAGCCTCACCTGGAGCACAGGTTTTACTCTCAGCCTGAACCAGGAGGTGAAGAAGGCTGAGTCTTAGGAGGCCGTGCGGGGGTGGGGAACTGCAGGGTTTAGATCTCACCCTGGGTCAACACACCTGAATCTAATGATTAGTTCATTACCAGCTTCTGGAGAACTTCAAGACATTTAAAACAGCTGTGTTGGATCAAGGACACGTCTAAAACCTGCAGGACACCGGCCTTTGAGGCCTGCAGTTGGACGTCCCTGGTTTAAAGGTTGGTGGTTTGATCCCTGGCTGCTCTGGACTGTGGGCCAAGATGTATGCAACAAGGATGCAGATGGTTCCCTCTGCAGGACTTCAGGTGTAATTATTTTGCCACAGATCCACCTCCTCTGAACTTTCACCTTCCTCCTCCTAACATCTGACCCTCCTCCACTTCATCCCTGCTCCTGTAGTCGTGCTGTCCTCTACAGAGGCCACAGTTTTATCCTGAAAGGGTTGAAATTACTGCACATTTCTGAAACCTTACTAAAACGTAAGTCCAAGATTCTCATATTAAAGAAACAAATAGATTTTTGTTTCTTTAAAATGTTCCCACAGATGGAGGAGATCAAA